TTTGGCTCAGGTCATGACACCAGGGTCCTGGGATCGAGCCCCACATTGGGCTCCCTTGTCAGTAGGGAGCCTGCTTCTCCTTCTTCCTCTGCTGCTCTGCCTGCTTGTGTCTCTCTCTCTCAGTCAAATATTAAATAAAATCTTAAAAAAAAAATAAACTTTCAACAAACTAAGGATAGAAAGCTATTTTCTGTAACATAATTATTAGCTATGTAGTATCAATAGTAAACATCCTACTTAATGATACAGGGCTAGAACATGTATTCTCAACAGGAACAATAACTGAAAATTAACCCTTGAGGGGACAAAAAATATCTTTTAACTTTTATGTGTAAAGTACAGATATACATATAGTACATTATATAGACATTCAGTATATTTATGATATTAGAATTTCTTTAGGGCAGTTAGGCTAAAAAGCCTCCTCACAGAGGCAGTAATGAAAAACAGGTTGAGAAACTTCTAGAGGATTGCCTTTTTTAAAATTGAAATTTTTATTTATTTATTTATTTATTTATTTTTTAAGATTTTATTTGACAGACAGAGATCACAAGTAGGCAGAGAGGCAGGCAGAGAGAGGAGGAAGCAGGCTTCCCACTGAGCAGAGAGCCTGATGCGGGGCTCGATCCCAGGACCCAGTGATCATGACCTGAGCTGAAGGCAGAGGCTTTAACCCACTGAGCCACCCAGGTGCCCCTAAAATTTAAATTTTTTAAAAAAATTTTAATTAATATGTAGTATATTACTGGTTTCAGAGGTGCAGGTCTGTGATTCATCAGTCTTACATAATGCCCAGTGTTTGTTACATTATATGCCCCCTCTTAATGTCCATTACCCAGTTACCCCATCCAGACCCCTCTCTCCTCCAGCAACCCTCGGTTTGTTTCCTAGGTTTAAGAGTCATTTATGGTTTGTCTCCCTCTCTGGTTTGGTCCTGTTTTATTTTTTCCTCTCTTACCCTATGATCTCTTCTTTTGTTTCTTAAATTTCACATATTAATGAGGTCATGTTAATTGTCTTTCTTTAACTTATTTCACTTACCTTAGTACTCTCTAGTTGCATTAACATCCTTGCAAATGGCAAGATTTCATTTTTTTTTAAGATTTTATTTATTTATTTGACAGAGATCACAAGTAGGCAGAGAGGCAGGCAGAGAGTGGGGCGGGGGTGGGGGGGGAAGCAGGCTCTCTGCTGAGCAGAGAGCCTGATGTGGGGCTTGATCCCAGGACCTGAGATCACAACCTGAGCCAAAGGCAGAGTCTTAACCAACTGAGCCACCCAGGCACCCCAAGATTTCATTTTTTGATGGCTGTGTAATATTCCATTTTATACACACACATGCATACACATACACATACACATACACATATACATATACATATACATATACATATACCACATCTTTATCCATTCATCTATTGATGGACATCTAGGTTCTTTCCATAGTTTGGCTATTGTGGACATTGCTGCTATAAACTTTGGGGTACAAGTGCCCATTCAGATCACTACATTTGTCATCTTTGGGGTAAATACCCAGCAGTGCAATTGCTGGGTCATAGGGTAGCTCTATTTTCAACTTTGTAAGGAACCTCCATTTCCTTACATTTCCTGTTTGCCAGAGTGGCTGTACCAGCTTGCATTCCCACCAACAGTGTAGGAGGGTTCTCATTTCTCCGCATTCTCGCCAACATCTGTTATTTCCTGACTTGTTAATTTTAGCCATTCTGACTGGTGTGAGGTGGTATCTTATTGTGGTTTTGATTGTATTTCCCTGATGCTGAGTGATGTGGAGCATTTTTTCATGTGTCTGTTGGTCATTTGTATGTCTCTTTGGAGATATTTCTGTTCTTGTCTTCTGCCCCTATCTTGATTGGATTATTTATTCTTTGGGTGTTGAGTTTGATAAAATTTTTATAGATTTTGGATACTAGCCCTTTACCTGATACGTCATTTGCAAATATCTTCTCCCATTATGTTGGCTATCTTTCTGTTTTGTTGACTGTTCCCTTTGCTGTGCAAAATCTTCTTATCTTGTTGAAGTCCCAATAGTTCATTTTTGCCTTTGTTTCCCTTGCCTTTGGAGACGTGTCTAGCAAGTAGTTCTTGCGGCTGAGGTTTAACAGTTTGCTGCCTGTGTTCTCTAGGATTTTGATGAATTCCTATCTCACATTTAGGTCTTTTATCCATTTTGAGTCTGTTTTTGTATGTGGTGTAAGGAAATGGTCCAGTTTCATTCTTCTGCATGTGGCTGTCCAATTTTCCCAACACATTTGTTGAAGAGATTGTCTTTTTTCTCTTGGATATTCTTTCCTATTTCGTCGAAGATTAGTTGACCATAGAGTTAAGGGTCCATTTCTGGATTCTCTGTTGTTTTCCATTGATCTGTGTTCCATCTTGATGATTGTAGCTTACCTTTTATTGTTAGAAATAAGACAAAGATACTTGCTAATACTATAGTTATTCAGCATTGTTTTAGAAGTTATAGCAAATGCAGTAAGGCAGTTAAAATAAGTAACACATAAATATTGAAGAGTAAAAGCCAAAATTATTGTTGTATTTTCAGGTAATAACATTTTCTACAGAGAAAACATAATAGATGACTGGAAAATGATTTCAGTTGAGAGAGACTCAGTGTCCAGGAGGTTGACTAGCTTCAAGATAGTTACATGGGCTTCTCTGAACAGAGCTGAATAGTTTATTGTCAGTTACAAGTGATTTGAATAAGTGGGAAGTTTCAGTATTATAGATAGTTAATGTAATTGATACATTTGTTCATTTAACAAATATGTGTTGAGCGTCAGTATATCCAGATGAATGTTCTAAGTACTGGGTATATAGCAATACATGGAAATATAAAAACCTGTTCTCTCCTGGAACTTATAGTCTAGTCAGTGGAGATAGAGAAAGAAGCAGGAATATTATGTCAGGGTGTTGATAATCCCATCACAATTTTCATAGGGTTGTTTTAAGAATCTTACTCAATATTTTAAACAAGATTTTATTTATTTATTTAGAGAGAATGAGTTGGGGGTACGGGGTGAGGAAGAGGGTGACAGAGAATCCCAAGCAGACTCCATGCTGAGCATAGAGCCTGACATGACCCTGCAATCATGACCTGAGCTGAAATCAAGAGAATCTTAACCGACCGAGCCACCCAGGTACCCCACACAATATTTTTTTTTTTTTTTTTTAAGATTTTATTTATTTATTTGAGAAAGAGAGATCACAAGTAGAGAGGCAGGCAGAGAGAGAGAGGGAAGCAGGCTCCCCGCCGAGCACAGAGCCTGATGCGGGACTCGATCCCAAGACCCTGAGATCATGACCTGAGCCGAAGGCAGCGGCTCAACCCACTGAGCCACCCAGGTGCCCCCCCACACAATATTTTAAAGTTCATTTATATCAATATCTGTGACAGAGTGGCTAAAATAACTCATTAAAAATTAATTGTCCTAGTGGACATTTAATTAAAATACAGAAATCAAATCATTATGTTATAGTTGCAAAATAGATCAGTGGGATAAAATATAGAGGGGTCCAGAAACAGTCTTAAAATGATAATTTTTGTTACTGATAAAAGTGACTTTCCAGATCAGTGGAGAAAACAGTGGATTGTTCAGTGAAATAGTATTTGGTCAACTAGCTATTTAGTACCCCAAAACAGATTCCTAATGAGTTAAGTAATTAAGCAGATACAACAGTATTAAAGTACCAGAAACATAACTTTGAAAGCATGATTCTATAAGTAGCAAGGAAAGGGTCCATTGGTTTGACATTAAAAAAGACTCAGAATTTCCCAAGGGCAAAGACCACCATAAGCAATGTGAAAAAAACAAATGATAAACTGGGGAAGATATTGACAGTGTATATAAGGGGACAGAGAGTTAATGTTTTTACTAGAGATCTTAAAATCTAGGAAAATAAATCTAATGCAGAGTTGCAAAGATCATAGAAATGGAATTCATCCACAATGCAAGTTCAGACTATTTATTTTATTTTGCCTACCAGATTGCTACAAATTAAATAGATTGCTACTACCCAGTGTCCCTGGTGGGAGGTTGTGTTGATAAACTTTTCTGCAGGCCAGTTTGGTGATACATACATGTTAAATCCACATCTTTTGACTGGAAGTTCCTCTTTGAATGTACTGCAGCGCAATAATTGGATAAATGTGCAAAAAATGTTTTATAGAAAAATGTTCATTGTCGTGTTCATAATAGAAATAATTAGAAATTGTCTAAATGTCATTTTGACTATAAATCCATACAGTGGAACACTAAGCAGCCTGAAAATAATGTAGATTTATACTTGCCAACATGGGAAGATGTCTGTCATGTAGTTTACATGTAAAAAAAAAAAAAGGTTGCAAATGTATGCCTAGCATGCTATAATTTTATAAAGCACATATAACTATACTTACATATATGACCTGGTTGATGAAGACAGTATTTTTTTTTAATTTTTATAATTTTTTTATTTATGAGAGAGAGTTTGGAGGGAAGGGGTGAGTGGGTAGGAGCAGAGGAAGAGGGACAAGCAGACTCTGAGCAGAGAGGGGATCCTGACTTGGGGCTTGATCTCATGACCCTGAGATCATGACCTGAGCTGAAACCGAGAATTGGGTGCTTATCCAACCGAGCCACCTAGGCACCCCCTGATTAAGACAGTTAGAATGTATGCACCAACAAGGTTGAAAGTGGTTCTAGGAGTGATGATTTAAATTTTCTTCTTATAGTTTAGAAAGAATATTTAGACATTTCTGTGGTAGAGTGCCTATCCTTTTAATAATCAGAGTGGAAACAGTGAAACTCTTTTTAAGGGAGGAGTTGGAGGGAAGAAGATGGGAACAGAGGCCTTGGTTTTCGGGCCGAGGTCTGCCATACCTTGTGGCCCTTCTCGGGGGCCTGCAAGTAAGTGGAACCTGAGTGTTGGCTGTGTTGGGACCTACCACACTTGAGGTCCCCTCCTACCAAACTCTGGATGCAGTCCATCTTCATGGCATCATGAAGTTTTGTGCCAACATCACTGGTGAGGACTTTTTAGAGCTCTTTATTCATATCAGTGGCACCCTTCCAAAGCTAGTGGGAGCCTGTGTGCTCTATGCACTTTAGGCCTGATGACCTCAGTCATCTGTGATGCCAGAGTGTGGTGTGAGGTGAGGCGGGGAGACTTCTACCACTTTGCGTGGAAGATGTTTTAGAAGCGTTGAAGGAGATTTATTTAGAGCTAACATCTGAGCATTTGTTCAGAACAGTGAGAAGCACAGGGAATGCCTTTTACCTTGAAGCCCCAGTTGACCAACAAGTGGCGTCCCCACCTCACTGTGTCTGGAGCTGCCATTGCCCACAGGTTGGGCTCCTGTGGTAGTACTTGATCCATCTGATGGGCCTGTGAGGGTTCTTAATCCAATGGCATGAGAAGATTTCCTGGAGCCCAGCATGAAAGCCTGTGATGTTTGGGTTTATCTTCTGGCTTTGATGATTCTGAAGAGCGGTGTAGAAAGGATAGCCAACTTGGGTGATAAGTGCTGGTTGAAACAAATCTAAATGGCGAAATGAACTTCAGTGTATAAACTGATGTCGTGTCTATTAAAAGTTATTTTAACAATCTTGGAAATCCTCCAAAGTCTACTCAGGATATGTCTCAAGACGGAAGCCTGGAGAACATGGTGGGAGTGCTAGTAGAGAGTGGGAAGCTTCTGCAGTTTTTCGAGGGACAGCAAATAAATCCTGTAACAGCCTTATGCAATGTTTTGAGCAATACTATTCTTCATCTTGTTTTGGTTCATGAAGATGTCTCTCTTCAGTATTTCATTCCTGTCTTATAAAAATTCAAGCAGCCTGTATTTTTTTTAAGCTTATGATCTTTTAAAAACTGAAACAGACCCTGAGTTAATTGGCTTGCAAGTCTGCACCCTCACTGGCCTATGTAGAATGTACATTTTGCTGAGCTCTTGTTCCTTTGCAAAGCTTTTATTAAAAAAATCATTGGTGAAAGAATTGGATAGTTCATTTGTATGTTTATTGACTTTATCAGTTTTTTTTTTTCTTCATACTTTTAAAGAGGCCAACAACAACAACAAAAAGACTTTCTACTTTAACTTTTTTGGGGAAAAAGGATTGTAACAAAATAAAAACTTTGAATTTTTGAAACACTGGATCAGTTTTTATTATAAAATGCTACTGTGTGAAATGGGAACTTCATTCTTTTAAAACAATTATAATTTTGTGAGGGATTTTTCTTACTTTAGAGAGCTTAATATACTGTCTGAAAGATAGAAGTTATTTAGCATTTGTGTATATTGCATAGTTTTTGTTAAAGCTGTGTTTTGTCAGTATATATATATATATATATTAGTTTATATTCATAGTTTTAGATTTATCATCTACAGAGCTTGAATTGGTTATTAGGTTCACTAATAATGCATCTTACTCATAAAGATTCAATTTTGAAATAGTCAATTTATGTGGACTGAGATTTTTCTTATGGGTAACTTTTATATAAACCAAGTTTTCATTTTTTCCCTATAGTATTATGTTATTCTATTTAGAAAATGATGCTCAATGTTTCATTATTTTGAGAAGAGGAAGGAGAGGTTATAAAGGACTGGTACAGTGATTAGAGGGAAGGTTCATATTCTTTCATTTTACATTTTAGTTTTTTAATGGCTTATGCAATAAAAGGAGCCATTAACTTGGCAACCTTTATTTTTTGCAGACTCAGTAAATTCTCATGACTACATTTTAATCAGTAATGAATAATTTCCTACTAGATTTAGTGATAAAATGCTTAAATTTGCTAATTTATTTTGTTTTGCTGATTTCTAAATTCCATTCATGGTGTTGTGGAAAGAACACAGAAACATGAGACCTAGGCAAGTTACTTGAACTCTGGAACTTTAAGATTTCTTTCAGTTTGAGTAGATTCCATTTCAGTACTCTTAGGGTTTCAATATAGGAAAATTAAACATTTGTTTTCCAAAGTATTTCAGACATTTTAAAATTATTAACACATAACTATTTCAGAATTATAGCTTAAGTTTTTTTCTTTCTGAATTATGTACAATTGCCTTGTCAATTTTTTTTTTAAATTTTATTTATCTATTTGTCAGAGAGAGAGAGCACACACAAGCAGAGGCAGAGGGAGAAGCAGGCTCCCCGCTGAGCAAGGAGCCCTATGTGGGACTCGATCCCAGGACATGACCTGAGCCGAGGGCAGCCGCCCAACCAACTGAGCCACCCAGGTGTCCCTGCTTTGTGAATATTTTTAAAGTTGTTTGTAAAGATTGTTTTTTTTTAAAAGTGATTTTTAGGGGCGCCTGGTTGGCTCAGTGGGTTAAAGCCTCTGCCTTCAGCTCAGGTCGTGATCCCAGGGTCCTGGGATCGAGCCCCACATCGGGCGCTCTGCTTGGCAGGGAGCCTGCGTCCCTTCCTCTCTCTCTGCCTGCTTCTCTGCCTACTTGTGATCTCTGTCTGTCAAATAAATAAATAAAAATCTTTAAAAAAAATGATTTTTAATGTTTATAAAATCCCCTGCCCTCATCAGCATTTTTTTATACTTTAAATGAAAGCTGAAAATGCAAAACAAATATTTTAACTCAGTGAGAAAATTATAAGATATGCAGACTTTTTTCTTTCTGTGCATAAAATGACTTATAATGCTTGTTTCTAGTATCTTTTTCAATTCTTTCTTTGGTTTATTAATTAAATGAGACTTTTCAAGCTACCTTTTTACCTGTTTTATCACCTCTCCTCTCCTTCTTTCCCTTAGTCTCTCTTCCTCTGTCTCTTTGTTTCTGTTTCTTTTCTCTATATTAAATAAAACCAGGGAAATGAAGAAAACCTATGTTTTGTTTTGGAAAGTAAATTATTGTGCATTTTAAACTATGGTGAGTTATTATAATGGTTAACTTTTAATAATTCATTAACAAAGTGTCTATAAAAGTTTTGTAGCCTGGTCTTTGAAATGTAACTTTTGAAAACGAGAGGGGTTATTTATTCTTCTGCTCAACCTACAGATATGTTGCTATTTAAAAAAAAAATTTGCCTATCTCATACTGTAACATCTAAATATAAGATCTTAAAAATTAAGATTCTTTTTAATATAGTAGAAATTGTTTATAATTAATACAAAAATTTTAAAATAATAACGTGTTCTTGTTATAGTTTAGTTTAATTGTGAAAAGCTGTGGACTGCCAGTTTCTATAGTTACATTAGTAATTGAATTTAAAAGCCTGGTCTTATAAGTAAGATTCTCATAGAATCCAGAATGAAAAGGGCTTGGGAATGATCTCATCTAAACACCTTATCGATAGATGTGAAAACAGTTTTTTTTTTTTTTTTTTTTTAAGATTTTATTTATTTATTTGATAGACAGAGATCACAAGTAGGCAGAGAGGCAGGCAGAGAGAGAGAGAGAGAGGAGGGAGCAGGCTCCCTGCAGAGCAGAGAACCCGATGCGGGACTCGATCCCAGGAGCCTGGGATCATGACCTGAGTCAAAGGCAGAGGCTTTAACCCCCTGAGTCACCCAGGCGCCCCCGAAAACAGTTTTAGAGAGCATAAAAGTAACTAATGTTTTTTAATTGTCAATGCCAGAACCCATTTTAGAACCCAGATCTCCAAACTATTTATAGATGTTAACTTTTTGAGCTTGATCTGTCAAGACTTAATTCAGAGACTTAAAGCTTGGATACACTTTTGTTTATTAAAATAAACGTAGAGCACCATGCAAATCTATTACTTACCTGACAAGATAAAATGTAAATGAAAAAGTCTAAAACATGTTATAAGCCATTGTCATATCATCCTTGTGTGAAGATATCCTTTGTTCTTGCAGGTAGGTAGGAAGGAATTTATTTGCTACAAAATGATAATTCGCTGGAAGACCAAAGCCTCACATTTAAAAATCAAAGCATCAAGTTTGGAAATTATTTCAGCTTCTATTTCTTTTTTTTAGAGAAACACCACTAAGAAGCAAGAAAATACACCTTTATGTTTCAGTGTATCTTCAGAAAATAAAACACTGATGAAATGTATATAAAGTGCTTCCTTATATCCATAAGTGGGTAGTTTTTAATTGTCTCTCTAAATAGTGTAGTCTTTATTGTCTCCCTAAATATCACTTGTTAAAAACTGTACTGGCTTATTTATATGACACACTTATACTATTTTTTTATTCCACTACTAAAAAGGTCACTCATTAGTATACTATGATGATACATACTTATTTATAAGTGTAGTATACCAGTATCACAAAAGATCAGACAAGTATTTATTAGTGGTTAATTTTTGTAAAGGTCCTCCTCTAAGTTTTGTTTATCTCCATTCAGGTCTAGGTAGTTGAAAAATGCTTCATAAATTAATCTGAGTCTGGAGACACACCAGAATTAATATTTCTTTCTAAGCAAACTTTTGTAAACCTGTTTGGTAACTGACAGGATATGTTATATATAGTTCTTAGACTAAGAGTTAGTATATCCTAATTTGCAGTCCATCTTCATATACCGTGAATATGTGAAATTCCAAATAGGTACTCCAGTGCTGTCAACTTTTATCATTTGCCCATTTGTGTCATTTAATCCTGTGTTTATTATAAGTGTACTTGTGTGAGGGTATTGCCTAATAAAAGTGGCTTATTTTGTATCTGCAGTTATTTTCCTTAGGTGGGTAATAATAGCTACTTTTCTTTTTGTTTCAATCATTCTGCTTTCAAAAGATGAAATTAGCTTGTGGTGTGTGTATTTTTAGGGTAGGTTTGTTCACTTTATTCCTTACCGCTTTCATGATCTTAAATGGCTGCGTAATATAAAGACTATATTGTTTTAATTAAATAAGGTTAATGACAGGCAAAGTCAGGCTTTTGTTAACCTTTGTCCAGTATATTTACATAAGAAAGACCTTAGGACATGTTTTCAAAGATTATTGGTTTATTGCATTTGGAAAATCTTTGTGAGGCAAATTTGTACGCACTTATTGACAACTATAGGTGAGAATTTTCCTTTAAAAAAATAATAAAAAAATAAAAATAACAACATGGGTTGTTAAACTGAGAATGTTCAGAAATAAATTGTTTTCTTAAGGCTTAGACTCTTAAGGCTTAATGATAAGAGATTATTTATTTGTGATGCTAAACATAATGTAGAGTATTTCTAATTGGACGTGGGCTGAAAAGAGACATCTCTTTCCATAATTCATTCCACAAATAATTACTGAATACATACTGTTTGGTAGGCACTGTTGTATGTGTTTTGGACACTGTACTGTAAAAAGTAGATATGCATATATTTCTGAATTAAATAGATGGTCTTCCTGCGATAATGGTTTGCCTATGTTTGGGGACATACCATTAATTTTTTTTTTTTTTTTTAATATATGAACCGATAGATGAATGCTGCATTTTCAGCTGCCTCTGATTTCTATGCCTGGAACACAGCTGTATTCCTTAATCATAAATAAGAAAATAGATCATACTTTTTGATTCTGGACTATCAGTTGTGGCCCAGGCATTACCTATTGTCAGCAGACATTACTTTGTTTTATTTGGACAAACTTTGAGGGTAACATAGTTAAGATTATGATCATGTGCTCAAAATGGATTTGAAATACTGGGAATAGATTGGAAATGCCCTGTCCGAGTTTTTGTTTGTCTGTTTGTTTTGTTTTTCTTTGACTAAAGGTAGTCTAATTTCAATTCTGTTGCACACCAGGATTAGCATTCCTCAGTCATATAGGAAACAACTAAGGTTCTCAGAATATGGGCTATCAGATACAAAAGTTACCTCATAATATGTACATGGTGTAAAGGAAAGAGTGATAATTAGACTCC